AGCATAGAGTCTTCATAAATCTTCAGAATTATCTTCATAAAACTTCAGAACATGTACCTTTTTATACTTATGGACTAAACATGAAGTACTGGTTACACCTTCATTTTCTTTAAAGAGCTCTAGTTACAAGTGCCTGAGGAACTGCACTATAGCACTCATGATCTCATATCTTACTTCATGTAAAGAATTAGCTTTGTTCTAAAAAATAATACATGCCACATCCAGTTAAAGTTATAAGTTTTAAATTGTGTTTAAAAATTGAAGGCTGATACTTCAGTATCATACCAGAAAATTGACAGAAATTTTGCAATATTACATCTGTTTTACACCCCATTTCTCTGAATTTGTCAAATCAATGTTCATTCTTAGGCTTTATATACTATTGGTTTAAATTTCAAAGTAGATATATGTATAAAATGTTGCAAGAGATATTTGCAACTGGGTGTTATTTGACCTGAAATATATCAGAATCATTTCAAAATTACACCAAAACAAATGAAAAATGATGTGAGTAGAACGTGAAAGACAACGCTTACAATCAGATGAGACGAGACACTAAGGCAACGCCTTTGCTACTGTGCCAAGTGTTCTGTGTTATATGATTATTGAGGTAAATTTCTATCCTAGGGACATGGCTTTTCTTAGGAAATTCTAGTATTATATTGATCTTTCCAATTGAGTTCACTGAACATCTAACGTTGACATTTTTAGCCTAGAAGGCAATGCATGAGTACCAGATGTATTTATGCAGGGTAACAGCTAATAACCAATGTCTAATTATATACATTGATATATCACTTGCTCATCACTTCTGTGAAGAGCTTGAAGTTCCATGGTTCTACTATTTTTACACTGGCTAAAGTAAAATTTCCAGTTGTATTAAAGAATGTGGTAGGATGTTTTGTATATTTTACAAAAACTCGTTTTTCCTCTTCTTTCACTTCTATGCTAAGAAATTTAGCATTCATATTTATAGTGCGGTGCAATGCCTGGTTGCTGCATTCTTTATTACAAAGTTTTTCTTCTCTTTAGGAAGCTCTAACTTTTTAAATATAACTTCTTTGATGAAGCTATGGTTCTCTACTAGGCAACATAGACTCTGTAACATAGATACATATGCTCTGGCAGTTATAAACTGTGATCATAAGTCACATCATAAATAAATAAATCATGAAGGTGTGTGAGATGCAATGTAATGGTTAGATTCTATTGATATGAAATCTTTTGTGATATAAGACTAGACTCACCGCTATTTGTAATGGCTCATCATCTGAATTCAACATTTTGGGTTTAGATAGTATGTTCTGGTTTAACATCTGATATTTTGGAATGTGTTCTTGAGAGAATCAAAAGTTAAATGAATTCTCTGCTATGTTTGCTGGAAAAGATTTCACCACCAGCTACAAGGTTTTCTCAGTATATGTTATAGTCTCACAGATTCAATACTATCATAAATCACTGCTTTATTAGTTTCTGGAAATAATTACAAAACTTAAAAAAAATTATTTTCATGACTTTTGTGTTAAAAGATTATTTTCAGTCTATTTGATTATAATATCCATTTCTCTTCAGGTAGCACATTGAGTTTAGTCAATACGGACACACTGCATATTCTACTATAAGATCCACAAAGCATGGATGTGTATTTGTAGCATCCTAGAGACACCAGCCTATATGTAGAAATGAAAAGTATTCTATTACTATCCCTAGGATCCAGTATGTACACATCACCCAGGTACTGGAATTGTCAGTGAAGTTGGGCAATGTTCTCATCCACCACACTGTGTTTTTTTAAATCACCCATAGAAAGTGAATAAAAACAAGTATATCATATGTGACAAATTATATGCCAATAGAAAAAGATGAAAAGCAATTTGAATATTAGAAGTAAAATTTTCTCATTTCAGTAAATCAGTCTCTATCCTTTATTACTTAGCAATTATTTTGCAAAGTATTACTTAGTAATTTATTACAATCTGACTCAGAAAAGCCTTGCCCTCTGATTTGTAGCAGAATTTGTCTTTGCTAGTATCATATGATGGTCTCTAACTTATCCATATTATCTTTGTGATTGTAAAAAGCATCCGTAATCACCTGTTCTGGTGCCATGTCAAAGACAACTTTGTTCTATAACAGTTAAATGCACAACCACCTCCACATGTCTGATATGGATTTACTGCTTTATAGAGAATACAGACTGATTGGCTATTTTAATATTTCATTCAGTCCAGGTAATAATATATAGAAAAATAATATTTGGCTAAAATTGTACACTCTATAGTTAATTTTTGTAAAAACATTACTTAGTTTACATTTGTATTTAAAGTAATGAGAAATAATGAAACAGAAAGCGAATTCTTTTTTGCGATTGTGAATGTGTTTTCATTTCAACTTAGGAAACCCTAGGTCTGAAATTTCCATATTATCAGTGATAGAATGTTGAAAAATATTTGCTGGGTGTATACCTCTATTGATACTAAACTGTTTTTATTATTCACATTGGTTTTGAATCAGTGTGCTAGACCAATTACTCACCCTCCCTTCCACTGTTCCATTAAGATTGACATTTTCTCCAAACCCCAAGTGAAAGAGGAGTTAGCAACCATACAAAGTGCCTGGTGTACAATAAGCAAATAGAACCCCAATGTTTGTGATATGCCGTACTTAATGTTTTCTTATCTCTTGTAATCTCACGGCCTGAAAATTCAAAGTTCTAATTACGAGGTTAGCTATATATGCCTTTTCTTATCACATAAATCTCATTTCATTTTGAAAAAAAATATGACCCAACACTTTTCCATGATGTTTCCAGAATGCAAGCATAATGATAGAGTCTTTCTCTTCTTAATGCTATGGTTATTTTCTAGCCCTTATATATTTATAGTCTTACAATGAATCAGGATATTGTGAAAATGAGTAAAGAGGCCAAAGATTGCTTCTTTAGTTTCTTTCTCATTTTAGAGGGAAAAAAAAATCAATTTTCAATGCAGGTTGATGAATTCCTCAATGAGTTACATATGTCCTCAAATGACATAGTTCCTCATTTCAGTCTTTAGCAAAATACAATTTCCAGTCATTTTTTTTTTTTCTTGGCATCAAGGTCCGAAAAACATTAAACCCACCCACAAGCACATATCATATAAATGAGCTTATGTATGTGGTCCTTCCTCCAAGCTCAGTAACAGTGACTGACCTTATAACACCAGCGTCCTCTAGAATGGAAGCACTAAAGTAAAGCTACAGGGCTCATGCTGGTCTCTCCCCTTGCTTCTTGGCCCTCACATATATAATCTCCATTAGAATCTTGTCAAAATACAGTCTGCTGTTGCATAATGTTTTGCGGTAAAGTCACTAGCAATTCTTCTTTCTTTAAACTATTCTTTTCTCCCAGTCTCATTTTACAGTTAGGTTGTAAGAAATAATAGTCTGCAAGGCTTTGCAACATGCCATCCACGATTACAAAATATTTTTCCCAACCGAATTATAAACATGTAGTTTAACTGAAAGGCATTCTAATTTTCATGCTATGTTGAGTATAAATACAAATTCAAGGCAGCCAAACTATCCATTTCCAAATAAGAATATATACCTACACTCATTAAAATCATCTGGAAATGTGTATCATTAGTAAATGAGTAAGAAATTTTCACTAGTATAAAATTCCTGCTTTATATAAAAGCCACACTGGCCATTCAAGTAGTTTGAGGTTTTTTTTTTTTTTTTAACCCCATAGTTTTATATTTGTACTAAAATGATGAATTTAGACTTGAAATTATGTTAAAAGAAAATTAAAAGTCACTTCTACCTTTAGGGCATTTTTAAAGTGTGCATGTAAAGAGCAACATGTCCATCTGCGGATCCACCATCAACACGCCTTTTCTCTCTAAGGAAACAGCTCATGCTTATTAGGATTTTAGAGGTCAATTAACACTCCAGTGGAGAAGCAAGACCAAATTTCCTTCAGTTTGTGCCAGTTTGCAAGTTAAAGGTCAAAGGGAAAAGACATAGAACAGGACTCTTCAAGGAAAATTTTCACAGAAGATAATGTTTAAGTTGTTAATGACAGTCAACAGATCAGTAATCAAGTTCAAGGCAAGCTGTTCATTGTTTCAAAAGCTAATCCCCTCAAAAGCTGGCTTTCACACAAAGCCAATGTCTGACTCATGGGGTGCATTCCTTCTGACCATCTCTAATAAGTTCACAGCCCAGTGGCTGTAAAGCCTTTCACTGCAAGAAGCAGCTCCTAAAAAAATCAATTAAGAGGTCTGTCAGTTGCTGACTTTTCTCTAGGAAAAAAATATTGATACAAACCTGCTCTGCAGGTCACATGAAAATGACAATACTGCTGTGAGGACAAATTACACTCAACAGTGAGATGCTTTGGTGGTCTCTTGGCTCTGTCAGCGATCAAATGGATGGCTAAATGCCAGAAGCCACACTAACCCTTTGAGAACTATGGTTAACATGCAATAGCTAATACACTGGAGTATATTCATGCAATCTCAGAGTCATCATTTTAATTCATTCGTAAGATGGCAATGCTAACGGCATGTTCCCTGGCAAAACTGACTTTTCATGCAATGGATTTTAAAACAGAAAATCAGTGTGTCTAACAACAACGACAACGACAACAAAAAAGACAGGCTGTTATGATCAGTTGTTCAAATAAAATTTCACTCTTACAAGATATTTAATAAAATACCTTTTTATTTGCCAGAAAATGTTTGGCAAGTAACATCATTTCTGTTTGTTATAAATGCATTTATGTAGTACTGTAAATCACCTAAAATTACATGGGGCTATAGGATATCTGTTTTAAAAACCTGAACTCCTTGAACCTATGCCTGTTTTTCACCATTGCCCACTTCTATAATTTACCAGATCCTAAGACTCTGAAAGCTGATTTGATAGTTCTCAAAGGGTTACACCAATATAGTACTAGCATCACATACTCTTAGAAAATGACTGTCACTTTAAACCACTTTAAGGACATACTGCTTCTAGTTCCCCTTATAATGAATATTCCTGACAGACCCATGGAAGGCCTGGGGCAATGGCCTAGTACAAGTCGGGGAGATTATCACAATGATGTCGGGGTGAGGTGGCAGGAAGGGGCTTGGAAACACTTCAAAGCAATCAAAAGGTCCCATCTGAATGTAGCTGTGAATATAAATGTGATGAAACATTGAAGACATAGCTGAGAACAGCTGTATAAAATGAAAAATGGATGTAGTATTAAGGCTGTTACTATATTGCAGATATTTTGGCCCCTTGTTTGTTGGAAAATGGCTGTCCCAACAGTCTAAAGTCCTGCATGTGTATTCCAGGTCTCCCACCTGACAAAAATGAAGCATAGGAGACTACCCATAGCAGTCAGAGAGCTATCTTCTTTGGAGACGAAGCTGTTTTGGGTCTTCACACTTTCCTGAAAGTTCAATGGTGGGTTTTTTTTGTTTAGCCTTTTCTTTTTCCTTGCTATGAAGCAAAAATGCGTGGGTTTTCCATTTTGCTTTTCTCCCCCCAGAAATGGGCTCAGACGTCAGAAAAACAAAACAAAACAAAACATAATATTAGAAACCTTTAAGAAGAACCTTTTCTTCTGTTTCCTCTTTAGGTAATCCTGGAAATGAACTGGGCATTGAGCGTGCAGAGGAAAGGCCTAGAACCGAAGGACAGAGACAGACAAAGGACTGAAGACCAGCAGATACTGTCCATCACGGAAGCTTCCCCATGAGTGATTTCCACTCACGCGCGGGGCCAGCAACCCTCTGGGTTTGAAAGGTCAGCCCGAACCAGGCTGCCACAAGCCTGCTCCTAGCTAGGAAACCGCATAACAGCTCTTGTCTTGAATCTCAAGTTAGCACAAACTCCTAGAAAAGAAAGAAAGGGAAAAAACCCTCCCTCACACCCACTCTTGCATAGAGCGTTTACAGTACAGTATGTGGCGGGGCGTTCCTTTCCTCTTGAACTGGAACACGGTGTAAACCAAGACAAGGAGGCATAAGGCCAAGATGCAGGGGATGACGATGGCTATGGCTTTCACAGTGCTGGCTGTGTGGTCCAGTTTGATGACAATGTCTACATCGTCTGGCGGGCTGTGTCCTTCCTTCTCTCTGTCTGCTGGTCCATCACAGCCCATAAAATCCTTGAGGATGGATCTGGGGTATCCAGGTTCTACCTTGAGTATCTGGTTGTTGAATTTCCAGTACTCCTTTCCTTTGTAGAAATAGGTAAAGCCTGGGTGGGGGGAAACACACATACAGGAATCACTTATCTGTAAACGGGTAGACATACACAAATGTAAATAAACAGGCTACTTAAAAGATGTATGTTAAGGCCACTCCACTTTTATAGGAAGACAACCCTATTCCCAGCTCAGCTGTCTGTTGATATGGATCTGGCTGTTGTGGTCCAGAAACTGGACCCGCAAATGCCTAGTGATGGCTCAACAGGGAGAAAGAAATATTATTGATACAGAGTTGTTAAAAGCCCATGCTATACACATCAACTCTGCTGCTAGCTTATAGAATTGCTGGTGCGGAATTACACATTAGTGTGAGCGTACCGACCTGTATTAAATGATACTGAAACAGCCTTATAAACAGAAGCCCTGTTAGCCCTAATGCAGCTATTGAGGACATTACATAATACATTTAAAGGAAGCGTCTCTGTAAAATAGTTCAAGGGAAATTTCTAATCATCTTAAGATTGGGAATAGTTGTACTCCTGTTAAGAAACAAGTTTGTTTTGTCATTTGGGAAAGAAATCATAAGAAAACATAAATCATGAAACTGGACATGATTTCTTTGGTCTGCTAGGAATTTTAATAATTAAATAGATATTTATTGTATTTTGTGCAGTAATCTCATTTTCAGCTCTAGGTCATGCCCATTTTGTCTCTCCTTTTGGCCATGTTATTTAACTTTACTATAGACTAGGTTAAATTTTTATCATCTAGCTATATTTTACAGAATTTCAAAAGCCATTATTAATCCTTTTAGAGTAAAGAATTGAGTGTAAATAAATCTATAATTCTATCTTTAAAATTTCCAGCTAACCTATATTTCATGGAGGAGGAGGTGGTAGGATGTAGAAGGCTCAGATAACTTAGCAACACATATAATTTGTGTTCCAAAATATTATGGATGCAGATAACAGATTTGTAAACTTGTGACGTTAAACTACAAATACATGTGTTTTTCTTAGGACTTTTCTCTTAACTTTTGCTGTTTTTCCCAGGAACAAGTCCAGGTTTTTCTTTCTGTCCATAGTTTCTTCATGTCAAGTTTCTTTGTGACTTCACTTTAATTCTTGCTTTGAGATAAAATTCAACAAACTAAAAAGAAAGGTTTTAATGTTATAATCACTTAAAAACTATATTTTGGGAGCTATCTAATTTTGAATAGTATGCCTACTTTCTGAGTTAATAATCATTAATGAGAGTTTTTCTTATATTAATAATCACTTACTATGGAAGAATCATTGAGTCAAATACTTAGTAAATGACATTTTTTAATTTTCATAAACACTCTGTCAGGTAGAATTAAGTGAAGTGAAGTGAAGTGAAGTCGCTCAGTCGTGTCCGACTCTTTGCGACCCCATGGACTGTAGCCCACCAGGCTCCTCCATCCATGGAATTTTCTAGGCAAGAGTACTAGAGTTGGTTGCCATTTCCTTCTCCAGGAGATCCCTATATTTTTCAGGCAAAGATACTGAAGCTCAGCGATAAAATGATATGCCCAATACTGCTGGAAAAAGGATTTAAATCTTGGTCTAGCTTTAGAGCCTGAATCTTAAAGATTTTTCTAAGACTAGGTCCCTTACAGATTTCCATCTTTTAAGGAATACTGCTTGGTTCAACATCACAGGTTGTGATAGATCTCACTCCTAAAATAACAACAACAACAACAATAACAACAACACCTCTGACATCTGTTCAAAAAATTTCAGCTAGAATTGATCGTCACTTCAGGTCACTTCACTCTAGAAATCATTCTGTTCAATGCCATGAAAATTGGCTGTTGCTTTTAGATTTGAAGGGCAGTTTTGTAATCAGAACAAGTTGCCAAGTGAAAACTGGTGTGTGTAGATTCAAATTTTTCTGCAGGGAGCTGATATTTGATCATGTTAATGAAAGCCAATGTAATTACTCAAAAACCTGGATAAAGAAATGTTGAGGGCCTGCCAAATAACAGTACCTTCAATGATCATAGTTGAATAATAGCATTGATCTAGAATTAAACAGACATTCAAAACAGGTGAACAAACTTCTTACATTTGTAAATCGGAAGCCAACAGCTGAATGTGTCCTTATCTTTAATTTTTAGTCAAAGCTAATTACTATGAAAATTGCTGGGTGTCATATAAAAATTCAGAAGTTTGTATTTTCATATTTATCATTTGGTCTGCATGTCAAATTTTACACTATTAACACACTCCGTATACAGTAGAATTGTAGTTTGCTAATACACTTGTCAATGAGAGTCCCTTGGACTGCAAGGAGATCCAACCAGTCCATCCTAAAGGAGATAGGTCCTGGGTATTCATTGGAAGGACTGATGCTGAAGCTGAAACTCCAATACTTTGGCCACCTCATGTGAAGAGTTGACTCATTGGAAAAGACCCTGATGCTGGGAGGGATTGGGGGCAGGAGGAGAAGGGGACGACAGAGGATGAGATGGCTGGATGGGATCACCAACTCGATGGGCATGAGTCTGAGTAACTCCGGGAGTTTGTGATGGACAGGGAGGCCTGGCGTGCTGAGATTCATGGGGTCGCAGAGTTGGACACGACTGAGTGACTGAACTGAACTGAACTGAATACACTTATTAAAGACAAGAAGTCTCATCAGCAGAATAATACAAATCTGTCCAACCTTGATCCTGAAAAATTCATCTCATTCAATGATTTGTTTCTTTTTTACCCTTTAAGAAATGTCAGTGGGTTGAAGAAAATTTATGTACTCATTTTTTCTTCTTTTGTGAGTAACTTTGATGTTATAATCTTGTAGATATGCTTACTAAGAGTAGAAATTTGAGATTAATTCTTACCTGAATTATCACTTTTGAGAAATTCTGAGAAAGAAGTCAGTGAGGTTGTAATGAATTACTTGATGAGCTTTTTTTCTCCTGTATTTGATTGGTTTTCACTGGTGACTGTTCTATTGCTTAATCCTAAAATGTAAGGAGACATGGTCTACCACGGCTGTCTTGTTACAACTTCATAGATGATCCTGCATGGCAGTACCTATGTGTTCTCTCTGTTTTCCACTCATATATTTATTAGTAAGAGGATACTTAATGTTTAATAAATGTGAATAATTAACTGAATCTTGTGAAAATGTTTGCTTGAATCCCACTCACAGATTTTAACAGAGAGTGAGAATGGATTAGAGAATTAATAAACCAACAGAATCAAGTCAAAACTTTTAATAGGCTAAAAGTGGAGCTGTTATCAGTAAACAAAATGAAACAGTGTTAACAGTAGAATTTTGTATTAACCTTAAAATTGCATTTTATAAGGAGTGAATATAAAATACCTAGGAGGTGGGGCTTGACAGCAATTCGAGATTTGAAGGTGGGTAATTGCAGTGATTATTCACTATAATTTTAGTAAATGATAAAAAAAAAATCATGCCATTGCTTAAAACACTGTCAATAGCAAGAAGTAATTTCACTATATTTAAGTCAAATATCCTTTGGATTATTGTAGCTATTTTCAGGGGCAGGCTAAAAATAAAGTGGAAAATAAGAAAATTATTAAACTAAGAATAGTTACAGGTGAAAATTGGGATGCTGATGGCTTAGGAAACTACATTTTAAGAAAACCTAAGGTATATCAAATATGACAAAATGAAAAATTTAGCCTGACATGACAGACTGTAAATTATCTTAATGATAAAATGTAGGAGAAGATGGTTTAGCTTTTCCTCTTTGGAAAGAGTGTATTAGAGCAATTCAGTGAGGCTAGAATGTTCTAGTTTCAACCCTTAGACATATACTACCAATTTCATGCTCATGAGTAAGTACTTAAACTAGCTGATGTTGGTTTTCTCTTTTATAAGTAATTATAAATGAGGCAAGGAGGTATTTGTGTTGGGCAATGAAGTTAGATAACTAATTTATGTAGCACAATTGAAAGATGGTGGGAACTCGGTAAACAGCACCACATATTCACATTCCATTGGTCAAGGTGGCAGAATTACTATCAATAGGCATTGGTATTAAAGGAGGGCATATTCCACCTTAATATGAAAATATACTTCAAAAATCTATAGATTAAGCTTTTGGGGATTTTTTTTTTTCCTTTGAAAACTACCATGAGGAGATGATCCATAGGAAGAAACTCCTACCTTGGTGGAAGGGTGAAGAATTAGAGAAAACATTTCATTACTGTATCATCTCTGATTTTATGACTCTCAAGCATATGTTACCCTTATAGGGAATTACTTCAAGTCTAAATATAAATATGAATGTGCTTACTCAATAATTTGAGCTAGCTCTCCTATAACAAACAAGGGAAGAAATTGTGTAAAATTTGAGTTCAAGGTTAAAGAGCACAAGTATGAGATTTGAGTAGAGAATTAAAATTGGAGAATTTGCTATTGGTCAACTATCTATGCTAAGACCTTCCAGACTGATTAATATTGCTACCCTACAGAACAAGAGTTTCAAACAAATAGGAGATTCCCTTCACTTTATGGGATGAACGTGTAGAGTAATAAAAGGGGTCAAATTAATTTCAACATTTATTGGCTGGTTACTGTGCAACTGCACTTGAGGAATTTACACTAGAGGTGACAACAGATGGGCATATAAATTGATGCCTGTAATGTGAGATTTTGAGTGCAAGGGTGAGTGTACCAAAAAGAATGTGCAATCATTCCTAAAAGATCAAAAGTGAGCTCAATATTTAAGGATATTAGAGGGAGGGCTAGACTCGGTAAGGTACAGAAGACATAGATGTGTTGGAGTTTCATCTGTAGTTTTTGTCATTTGGAAGCAATGATTTTCCAACATGCTTTGCTTTTTTGCCAGTATTTTACAAAGTTATTCTTTACTATGTGGAAAGAAAACATGAAACTCTGAATTTAAAAAAAAACCATTTATCTTAAACAAATGTTATTTTCAGATGGACAAGAATGTGAAAAACCATGGGGCAAGACTCAGCAAGAATATTTCTTTGTTATTTTTATACAATTATGGTTTATTCCCGGAGAACCTGTATCAAATCTCAGGTTTTAGTGGCCTTGTGAATAGAAACAGGGAAAATAAAAACAGTTAATATGCTAGGAATTAAGATTATGTGCACTTTTTCAATCTTTTGAAATAATTATTAAAGTTATATTTATTATAAAAGTTATACTCATTTTAGAATATTAATAGAGGGAAGAAATTTTAGAAACTATTATCAAACTTGCTATGCTTGATCACTGGTGAGATCTGGGTATAATTTTCTTTGCATGTATTTCTGTGTAGTGTGTGATGACTTTTATTGAGGGCAGACTAGAGCAGTGCTAGGTATTCTGTAAATGTTAGCTGGAGTCAGTTTTACCTGGTCTGAAACAACCCTCTTTAACCTCAAGAAGTCTCCTTTCTCTACTAGATTCCTGGTGACAGCTATAATTTTGGGGGCATGATCTCAGTTTTCTGCTTTCCATGTGATCATCTTTCAAATTTGTTCACTTCTTTGTCCTTTGTATTTGCATAGATTGTCAAATTTTTTTTGCCATATTATTGATATGATTTTACAGCCTCCAGTTTGATTGCATTGTGACTTCCTTTATTTTCTTTATGTGACTTTATTCCTTTATGTGACTTCCATTGTTTTCGTAATGATTTCCTTTTTATCTTAAACAGACATGTTTCAGCTCAGTCTGTCCTCTGCTGTGGGCTTTGCTTTTGTCACACACAGGCTGTATTTAATTTGGTCCTTTGATTCTCTGAACCAGTGGAGTACACAACGCACTGCAATTCCAGGCAGTACTATATGGTCAGGCTTCAGGATTCTTTCTGACTGAGCCTCTGCCTACAGTGTTTTACTTGTGGGACATCATCACACAGAATGTAGTATAGATTGCATATAGCGATGATCAAACACAGTTTGTGTCTGACTGTTCTGACTGGCATCATCCTGGGTCTCAGGTCCTGCAGTGTACATTCAGCATAAAGCTAATTTACACTCTGGCAATTTGTTGATGGTCAGTCATTGTTTTCAGCGGATGACATTGATTTTTTTTATAACCCCCTGTTTCTTCCTTGCCTGGAGAATCCCAGGGATGGGGGAGCCTGGTGGGCTGCCTTCTATGGGATCACACGGAATTGGACACAACTGAAGTGACTTAGCAGCAGCAGCAGTTTCTTCCTTAAATTTTTCTGGTTTTTCCTCCCCCAGATGCATTTAATTTTGCTCTTGCAAGTGATGTTTATTTGGTTATCATTACATATATGTTATAGACTTTTCATGCTATTTAGTACCCCCATAATGTATTTTTTTCTTGTTGCTATTATAAACCATTTGAGAAGATATGTTTTTTTTTTTTCCCTCTATATTTCAGTTTGATGTCACTTTCCTTTTCCTGGAATATTATGAATAATTTTATTTTGAATAATTAACATGGTTCATTCACACTAATCTCTGAATGAGGAGAGAAACGTTCAAACTCAACCAACAGATATAGGAGTATCAATTAGCTAAAGGTATACATGAAAAATTACAATCCTCAACATGCTGTATTACTAGGTGTCTTTGTGACTCTGCCCACATTAAAAACATTTCTTGTGATCAAGTCCTGCCCCACATATGTCTGTTACTACTATCTTTACATGAATTTTAGTAGGAAATAGGTGAGGTTACTTCAAAGGTATTAACACTTCAGTTTTTTAAAATACTCTTTTAATAAACTAAAATAGGTTGAGGCTAAAGAACATCTTGAGCATTATATTAAACACAAAGTTAGGAAGTAAAGTTTATATAAATATGATATAGCCCTCATATGGCACTATCTAATCTTTTAACACAATGAACGAGTAGGATAAATTATTCATTTACTCAGCAAACTCATGAAACACATAATGCGTGTGCTGCATACCATTTTCTTTGTGAACAAAGGCTCCCTGAGGAGATTCAGGGATACCTTTCCAGACTGTGATTGGTTTGGGATAGCCAGGATCCATGGTCTTCATTTCTTCACTATATCTCCAATACCTAAAAAGGATAAATAAACAACAACAACAGATGCATAGGAAAGACAATTATGTATACACAGAATAACATCCATTAAATCCTGTCTGTATACTACTTGTATCCCTGTTAGTGAGTTACAGAACTGATTCAAATCATGCAAAGACAGTGGACACAAATTATTGTTTCCTTTTCTGAATATGTTAAAAATGGGTATGTTATTGTATATTTATGGTCTGCTAAAATTAATTTTAACACTAGCTAAGCATCATTACAATTCAAAAAGGCATCACCAACCAATGTAGAAATCAGAGATTTCCATGATTTTTAAAACTGAGGCAGCAGAATACTTCTTTTGAAATAAGCATAGTTTTGATTCATTTACCCACTCATTTATTTAACAAATATTTATTGAACACCTACTATGTTTCTAGTATTATTGTAGGTGCTAGAGACACAACCTTAACACAACAGACATGCCTCAGTTCTTTTGTAGTTTAGGATATGTAGGGATTATAGGAAAAAGAAAATTTATCAATAAATGCATAGTATCATAAGAGCTGGGAAGATCTATTTAAGCAGAACAAATTATCTAGGAATATGTATCAGTCATTTAAAATCACTAGATTGAGAGGTCCTCCTTGATAAGCTGATATTTTGAGCGAACAGCAGAAAGAAGAAGCAACATATGTGGTTTTGGAGAGTACACCATTCCAGACAGGGTAAGTAGTTATCAAAAGTTTCCATGGCAGGCACAAGCCTGGAGTGCCTGAGCATCCAGTGAGGCTGGAGTGACTGGAATCGGCTTAGCAAAGGGGGGACGAGCTCAGAGTGGGACCAGACACCTCTGATTAGATGGGCCCTTACGCTCTGGCAAAACCTGTGGTTTTCCTCTGAGATGCGAAGCCAATGTAGGTGGTGAGCAGAGGAGCGTTAAGATAGGGCTTGTTTCTGAAGGGAACACACTGCAGCTGTGAAGGAGGCAGAGTGAAGGGGGTAAAGAGGCAGCACGGAGGCCAGGCGTGAGGGCATCTCAGTAAGCCTTGAGCCACAGTGAGTGTCGGAGAGCTGACAATAATTCACGGGGCTGGGAGACTGCTTCGAAGGAATAGCCCCGAGCACTTACGAATGCAATGAATGCAGGATGTGAGGTGACAAAGTTGAGCATGACTCCAGAATTTGGGGCCTGAACATCCAGAGGAACAATTCAGTGAGATAAGGAAGTGTGGAAAGGTAAGTGAGGGTGGTTTGAGGAATCATGAGTTTGGTTTTAGGTGTGCTAAATTCAGATGCCTCTTAGCAAAGTAGAGTTGCTGATGAGGCAAAAGGTATATGAATATAGACTTTAGGGCAAGTCTCAACTAGAGCCCTTGGTGTGTAGACAGATAAGCAGATAAAAGCAAAGCTGCCAAGGGTCAGAACCCGCAGACTCTCATCCCTTCGCAGGGGGGTCATTGAGTCACTTTCACAGACCTGCTGGATATCTAAGGAACAAACTGTGAACATCTCTACTTTGGATTACTCCTTATTTTATATATGCTCTAAGACTCAAATATGTTGTATCTATATATTCAAAAGGATTGACAAAACTGAAGTGAAACCATTGGGAGTTCACAGTGATATTGCCTATTTTAGAGCAGGCATAAAATGCTCTGTGCATTAAATTATTTAATCACAATAAACCCATGAAAGAGTTGTCATTGACCCCACTTGAGAGGAGAATTCTTGGAGGACAATGAACGATACGTAGACTTGTAACCCATTCTGTTTGATTTCAAAAGTTTCTACTCTTTACACATACCAAATATGTTTGATAACATTTTCTCCCTCCACTACCATCACTAGACATGTCGTAGTTCATGCTAAAGGGAGCGTTACACCAAAAGATTTGCATTTATATTGAGATTGGGTACTTGGTTCAAACCAGAAAAAGAAAAAAAAAATCCAGTCTTTTCTGGACATGCTCCTGTTTCAGGTCTATGGGGAATCCTTCATCTATAGGACTGTGGGCTCTTGTAAAGAATGTTTACTACAGATTCCTAGATACCTTAGATAAGTAACATGTGGAATATTAGTGCTACCTCCAGCTTCAGTGTTCACAGACAAAGTATAAATAGATTGTTTCAAGATGTATCCCCATAAATAAGCCACAAGGCAGATTTTATCCAAAAAGGGAAACGCTTGGTGAAGGTGTTTGTCATAGATTCTTATCACATAGAAGATGAGAGCAGATCTGATAGAGAAGTCAGCAAAGACTTCGGGGAGAAACACTGAGCTGAAATCATTCATGGTAGCTGAGCCTATCTTGTTGAAGAAGACAATTAGGGAGTGCGAAGTTCTACCAAAACTAAACTGCATTTTCATTCACATTTTTTTCCATGGAAACGGCAGATTTAAGTTATTTTTGAATATTTCATCACAGAACACACTGTGATGAATATAGCATGTTTAAGGAGGTTGAGATTGCACTCAAAATCTCCAGATCTTTTCTCTCAAGTAAATATTTCAAAGATATTTACAATAGTCATATATACTAACTAGTTCCTGAGTTTACCATACAGAAAAGTTTTTGCAGAGAAATCATCAAATACCTTATTTCACAGATTCCAAGATACATATATTTCCACACTTTGCATCTGTGTTATGTTTCACATCTCAGTGCTATGTCAAAGTATACTTGGCAGTTTTTTCCTCAATGATAGATTAAATAATGATGTAACTTATAATAAGTGAAATTTTTAGTTGGCATAAACCATAACTTAAAGCAAATTTTAAAGTTTTCCGAACCAAGGAATAATTTTACATCCCAGTGACAATGGGACCACATTCCATACATGATTTAAGGAAGATTCCTACATAGTCAGAAACCATGTTTATTCTCCAAGGTTTAGTTACAACAATGTTCATGTTACAGGACCTATTCTTCATGTAGCATTCTGTAGATATACATAATTTTAACCTTATTTCACCAAAATCCATCACCAATCTTTTATATTACAGATTAAAATGTGCTTATGCTGATGTCCTAACCATAGATTTAATATATATGGTCACTCAATTCAGTCAATAATAAAGCATTGGGTATCATATTATTCAAAGGTAATGTCTTAATCATATATTTGCTTTTCTTGAATGTTACAGAGTTGAAATTCAGATGCTTTTTGACTCATAGTTTGCTACAATTTTCCACCACATTACTGCTAGCGTTTCCCTTGACATAGTGTTCTTACATTAGTCTCCATGCCATCTTACCCTCTTAGGGCCCTCATTGAAATTCATAATGTTCATGTGTCCATATAATTTTTCTTTATCCCTCACTCTATTCACTCATAGATATATTTACCTACCATTTTTTGATCACTGATATGCAAGGCACATAAAATTTACAGAGATCACAGTTTAAGAAAATATTAATGGAATGTGGATTTCACTGTACTCCTTCATAGGAACATAATCCTGATATGAATTTGTTAGGATAAAAGCAATTTTCCCCTCTTTTTTGCTAGATGATAATGCAAAACTATAATTTCATTTCACAGTTTTTGAAAAACTCATAGGTGGCTTGGACCCTCAGGTTATCTGCTCTGTCAGCTTTGATACATACTCAGTAAACTTAAATGTGATTAAATTCATCTAACTATATTCAATCATAATATTACTCAGTCCATTATATTATTATATAAAGACATTACATTCAGCTACTTTGTAAAAAAGCTGAGGCTTATGAGATTTGCATTTTAACTTCCAACATATGTAACATATTTCAACATGAACAAAAATGTTCAATCTGCTGATTTTGTTTCTCCTGAAAAATAAACTTACAGGTTCATTGAAAAGAATATTAATGTATTCAGATGGAACATTATGTAAATATACTGGAGGGGTTTAAAAATTAGACATTATAATGGAAAAGTTTTGGAAAGCTATTGTAAATAAATATTATAGCTTTTTCTTCTAACATATCTACAAATTTTGCAGTAGAATTATGACTTTAAATTGCTGGTTCTTTGAGAAACACATTGTAAATCAATCTTCTAAAATAAATTGTGAGTAGAAATGGGATTTATTCATCATTTTCAGACTGATTATGACTCATAATCATAAGAGAAAACAGTTGTCCGTGTAAGAAGATACAGTAATTTCTTAAATTCCTCTGTGTGAGCAAATAAATAGCACAGGATATTCTGAAATGATGTACTTTAATGTTTCTGGATCCTGAACTCAAACTGAACAAAAAGGTTGATTTCACATGACCTGGTCATTTCTTTACCCCCTTTGTCTCATTTTTTTTTTTTTTTAACTTCAGAGCCAGGACGTCTTTCCCTCTGTTATCAAAAAACCAAGGGACACTTTTTTTCACGCCCAAATAATCATACAAAATTTCTTTCTTCAGAAGCATTATTAAAAATGGAAAATAATCAAAATAGCAATTTGTACTCTGCTGGATAATTTTAAAAACACAAAAAGGAGTCACTTCATAAACACATAACTTAAGCTACAAGAAATAGGTGTGTTTTCTTTGATTATTGGTGGTAATGATAATAAAATAAACCAAAATAGATCTAAATTTTGTCTTCTTTCTTTGAACATTTCTTAAAATCCTCAATGGTTCATCCTAGAATAAAGTATAGTAATAGAGTCTTGGATATATTTGTGAGAAGATGCTATGAGACGACTTAGGATTTTAGAACTAAATGTTATGAAGATCAAAATGTATCCAAGTATCAATGTATAGTATATTAAGAAAAGGGCAAGTAGGAGTCTGAAGGACTGAGCTCCATGCTGTATGTGGAACAGTGAAACTGGACTTTTTAATCTGAATTTACAGATCTGTTTAAAGAACCATCATTTCACCTACACTTCTGCACTTTGGAGATTTCATGTGGGCCCCTACACGCAATACAATTTATATGTCAATTACTCTCAGATCTGTGCCTCCACCCACCCCACCTTTCCTTGGGAACTCAGGTATCCAACTATTTCCTTGATTTCTCCAATTGTGTGTAAACAGGTATCTACTTACCAAAAGCGAGCATTTCAAACTCTTGACCCCCTTTCCCCAATATCCCTTCCCTTATATGTTCCATCTTCAGAAATGGCACAATCTATTCAATTCCAGTGATAAATCTAGATGTTGATGTGTCCTTCTCACCTCTAAAATCCGAGCCTTAAGAACAACTTGCTATGAGTACATAAAAAACATATGCCCTACGCTTTGTTCCGTGCACACTGCTACCATCGTGCCAACCTGTACTCCTTCAACAGCCTACCAAGTAACTGCCTTGTTTCCACATCTGAAGCCCATTAGTCATATAGAAGTCCTAATGATGATGTTGGATACACATCACAACATGTACTTTCCTGCTAAAAACCCTCCAACACCTTTCTATTGTACTTAACATGCCTCATAATCTGGTCCTTACCTACCTATTGGACCTCTTCAACCACTGACTCACTATGCTTTCGCAACAATGTTTTTTTCTGATTTGAACATTATTGCTTTTGCACTGCTATTTCATGTGCCTACACTACACTGGCCTGAATAATTTCATGTGACTGAAATTTCTCCCCTCTTGAGTCCCTGAATCAGTGCAATCCTTCACAATTTAGGCCTTTCTTGACTTACACACTCATCTCCCCACCACTCTTTACCACCCGTGAGACTCTACCACATCAGCACCTATTTTTATTTCTTCGGAGCATTTCTCAATGTTAAAATATCAGGGTCATTTTTTTCTTCTCTCTTTATAACAATATCCCTAATAGAGTCTAAAGACAATAGGGGCCGAAGCCTTGTCATCTTCTTTCCTACTATATCTTTATTACCCAGCACATGTCAATAGTATGTGCTCAAAATATGTGTTAAATAAATGAGTGAGGGATGTGCCAAGACAAGTACAGAAATCTTAAGAAAGCAGGAATTAGAGCCATTGAGAATGGAATGGGCCGTCTCATATTTACACTGTCACCACAGGTGGTCAGGTACAGAAGGATGCATGCCTGTGGGATGTAACTGAAGCTGTCTAGACTTTGGTAGGCAGTGAATTAGATACAGGGCTGACATATGGCAGTGTTTAGACCAAAGCTAATTTAAAGGTGTGGTTTGTTTGTCTAGCAGATTACAGAATCTTTTCTGATTTTGAATGCTCTTCTAGATACGTGTGGTTTGCAGCTCACCACAGTATCCATCAGTCCCTACTGCCTTTCTAGTACAGTATTTTCCTGACACCTTAAATCAACTGGGGCTTCCCAGGTGCTCAGCTGGTAAAGAATCCACTTGCAATGTGGGAGACCGGGGTTCGATCCCTGGGTTGGGAAGACCCCCTGGAGAAGGGAAAGGCTCCCCACTCCAGTATTCTGGCCTGGAGGGTTCCATGGACTGTATAGTCCAGGGGGCCGCAAAGAGCCGGACACGACTAAAGGAGTAAAGTGACTGATGTTTTTACACCTAGACTAGGTTAACTCTAAAATTATTTTCTGATCTTATACTCAGAGAAATAGAAGTCTGTTAACACATTTTTTAAACAGGAAAATGTCAATAAAATAAGAGGAAGAAATAAGGATAAATGAATTTTCAATACATTTTTTCTCAAAATATACATGGGAAATACATAAAATGTTAAAAGTGATAAGTATTGTAAGTAAATAATGTCTATAATGAAGAAATACACTGAATTTTCATATAAAAGTGACAATTGGATTGCTTTTTACATTTGAGTTAGTTTAATGTCTTTTCCATCTACTTATAATCTAGAAAGAATATATTAATAAATGTTGTGACTTTGGAATTAAATATACAAATATGAAGTAGTCTTCTTATAAAACATCTATGACAAATGAACTCATAAAATCACACACATGAAAATTGGGATCTTGCTTTAAATATTTTCAAAATCTATAAATGCAGTTACTTAAGCAGAACTTAAAATCAAAGTATTTCTATATGTTTTATATATTCTGCATGCACCTTGTCAAGTAGGACATAAATTAACTAAAACTCCTTTTCTAATTTACTATAATCTTTATTATAAATTTGGTGTCTACCATTCATTGATTTCACTGACTTGAGACAGCCAACATTTAACTTCTAAACAATTTTTTGAAGAAGTACTAAGTTTTTAGAATGGAAACATTTTTATAAGTAAGGCTAACTGATAGTAAAACCACAGCTTTAATTATCATCTCTGAAATGCTCATTAAAACTGTAGTATGAAAGCTAAGCTTTCATGCTCTGTCCTGGAGCAGTTAATTTCTCCAGGGTCTCTTCTCAACCTTTTGTTTCTACCCCTTTCTGGGGGTGGGGGGTGGAAACCAACACCATTCACTTTTGAGCATAATCCTAAAAGAGTACATTCAAGCAATTAAAAGCAGCTGAAGAATTACTCTCTAACAGCCTTGCGGGTTATTAATTTACAGAGTTTGCTGTAAGTCCACTGATTTATTTCCATTAGCGGTCACCATGCTATGGCAGTCAATTTCTTCATTCTTCTCTTTTCACACTCTAACCACATTTCTATCTTGCTGAAAGTCATAACTTTTTGTGATAAGTAATATCTTCTGCTATGATAGAGTTTTTTTGATGAACTTGTGATTTAGTAAGAAACATCTAGCAAAACTTTAGCTTCTTGATAGTGAATTAAAATCTATGAATATTTTGCTATAGAAATATATGCAAATTTAATGCATAAAAAGTTCATAACAAATAAATGTAAAATTATACATTTTTATCCATGAATGCAAACGATAGAATCTTTTCGTTCACAGATAAAGCTCAATGTTTCAAACCACTTGCTATTAAATATTACAAAGTGCAAAATAAATAAGGTTTATATCCTTACTTTTCTCAAGGAGTTGGAGACATTTTATAGGGTTACATTATGTTAAGATTATAAGGCAAATTCAATACTAACTAGTTGGTCATTAAAACCTGTTGTTTTCAATGTGTGTTTGTGAGTTGCTGTGCTTTACTACTTGTAAAATGACAGACTTAAGTTCTACCTACCAATGAAGTTTACTTATGAATGTCACATTTTGATACAACTAGTAATAGTGCAACTAAAATTTGATTTTTCATCTTTATTTTTAACCTATTGCTAATTTAAAATAATAAAATTGTAGCCTTCAACTTTGATTTTATATGTAATATCTGTCAACAAGTGGGCAGGGCTAAAACTAGCATGCCAACTGGCTACTGTACATCATGAGACTAACAATTCACTTCAAGTTTTACAAACCCTGTTAGTAAAGTTATAAAAGATGTGACAGAAAATAACAAGAGACATTATACTTCAAGCTAGAAGTATTTAGTCAGGGGATAGTTTGGTTAGTTCATAGCACCTATCTGCTGGTACCTAAATAACAGTGTCTTAAGAAATGGAACTCATGACAAAACTGAAGTTATTTGAAAATGTTCAGAATTAACTGTGTGCAAAGTATAAAAATTTAGCTTTCAATATAAAAGCAAAAAAAGACCTGTGTTAAAAAGCACTTTTAAGTAAATTAAGTAAAATTACAGAAAATGAATTCTAGGGATAAATATGTACTGCCTATACAGCTTTATAGGCATATTATGATTATGGAGAAGAGAAAAAATATATACTACATATATACATTCATCATAAAGCCATATTATTTGGGAATATTAAAGGAAGATTTATCTTCAGTATTATTTTAAAATATGTTTAAGAGATTTTCAATTCTATTAATTCTTGTGTTTACATCCACACAGATTCTTTCATCAAATGTACATTCCTGCTATAGACTAGAAATATTGACTTCTCTAAACATCAGTTAACTGTTTTCCTCACGTCAAGTGTGTACTGACCTGTCCCCCTTGAAGAAATAGGTTTTCCCAACGTCCTCCCACCAAATGGCTGAATCAATACCATGAGGGGGAATTCCGCTTCCAAGAGTAATCAAGTCATGAGGGTAACCAGGTTGAAGAGTCGTGTCCTTGAACACCCAATATTTGTTACCTGTATGAAATAAGTGCAAATGCAGAATATACTAATTTAATGTCAGAAATTATAATATATCTACTAACACAATGCATTTAAAATTCTTTTACATGAAAGCCATGAAATAACTTAGCAGCAGTCACATCTGGAATACTTAGGCCATTTTTGAAACATCAATGCTATTTTCAAAAGTGGACATAATGAAAAACTATTTAATAATGCAATCGGAATTTGTGAATTAATTTAAGAAATAAAAAAGATCTACAATTTGGCATATGGGAACAGTTTGAATTAAAGGTCAAGAATGTTTTCCTCTAGGCTTATTTTTTCATTTGAGGCTAAAATCATTCCTGTGTCTTGGGCATTCTATATGACCTCAGATCGCCGTACTGATTACAGCCTCTACTCTGTTAAAACACTTCCTCTAGGCTGGTCCTTTCCTTTTATTATACAAACATTCACAAGTCTCTCTAGTCCTATAAAGTCATCCTCCTTTGACCCAATGCCCTCTTTTAGCTGTTACACTATCCTTCTCTTTAAGAGTGGTGACTGAAGGGAGAAAAATTTTAATCCTCATCTTGCTCAGAATTGTCAGAGTATGGCAATACTAAAAAAAGATGAATTGTAGTCAGCTTTATGGCTGTTTCGAAATTATCTACAGACAATGCACTTCCTCATGCCCTCCACCCTTGGCGGACTGTGTAAACATTCTCCTCCTTGGTATGCACTTAAGTAGTCTGCAACAATTTCTCTTTCCATGAAAAGTTGATTTAATACGTATTGCTGCTGCTGCTGCTGCTAAGTCGCTTCAGTCGTGTCCGACTCTGTGCGACCCCATAGACGGCAGCCCACCAGGCTCCCCTGGCCCTGGGATTCTCCAGGCAAGAACACTGGAGTGGGTTGCCATTGCCTTCTCCAAATACGTATTGCTACTGATACTTTTTGTCACGAAGTCACCAATTCCTACAGTTTTCCACCCCTATCTATTGACAGGGTTGGCCACTTAAAGAATGTTCCCCCCTGAGCGGCTGGAAAACCGTTTTGCTGTTGCTGTTTCTCTTTCTTCTCTACCTGCTCCCTCTCTGGTCATTTACTTTATTCAGTCCTTGAAGGTTGGCACGCCCTATGCTTCTGTTCTCTGCACCTCCTCTTCTTATTTCACGCAGGGGAGGGGCACAGTGGTGTCACAAACTCAAGGGCCACGCTAGAGAGGACAGGAGCGGAGCGACAGTGGTACACAAATACTCTGAGACACATCCACAAAGTCAGCAAACATCTACTGCCTTAAAGGTGGTCCACGCCCCTCTGCCCAAGTCCTTTTCCCTGGTCCTCTGGATCTTTCCATAATCAAGCAGCTTCTTGACTCACTAACTTCTCTCGAGGTTAGTATCTGGAGAAGTAAATAATATCTTAATATCTGACAAAGTATCTTGTGTCCTTTCCAACAGATGAAAGGCCTTCCTTGTTGTTAAATATTTCAATACTGTTCTAGGTGAGAACTATAATAAACTAGCACTCATGTTATACTTAAGGGAATCTTAAAAAAAAAAAAATCAAAACCAGAACTGGCCTAAAACAACCAAAAAAGCGTATCTTCAGGCGAGTCTCTAGTTTGCAGAGTCTCTAGTTCGTAGAGTCTCTAGTTTGCAGAGTCTCTAGTTTGTAGAGTCTCTAGTTTGTAAGAGTCTCTAGTTTGCAGAGTTTCTAGTTTGCAGAGTCTCTAGTTTGTAAGTCTCTAGTTTGCAGAGTCTCTAGTTTGCAGAGTCTCTAGTTTGTAAACAGCCTTATCTTATTTACCAAGAGCTACCATTTGCTATCATTTTAAATCAAAACAGCTTTTTTTGAGTACCTTCAGTGTCCCAAGTATCTTGTTAGAAATTAAGGAAACTAAGGAGAACAAGACAGACTATTATCATCCTACATTCAAGTGAATTTGACAGGTGAAAATTAAGAACACAAATATGTAGTTGCAGTGGTTGAAAAACTAATAAATGCTGTGAAGGAAACACATCAGGGGCTGAGAAACAGAAAACATGGTGGGAACTTACCTCAAGTAAGGAGATTAGGAAAGCATCTCTAAAGAAGTAGCGCTTCAGCCAAACTTGAAAGAAAGAAGATGATACCTATGCAAAGAACACTGAGAAGAGCATTCCAAGAAGAAGAGTTCTATATGATAGAAACAAAACAAAACAACAAAAACTGGAAGAAGATCCATGCGGTGTAATAAGCAAGAAGAGAGCAGCACTAAAACTTATACGATGTGCTTGGATCTCAGTCTGAATGCAGTAACAAGGCATCAAAGAGATTAAATTAACAAAGTGGTGTGACCCATTTCCTATTTTCAAAAGATGATCTTTGGCATACCTGGTATGTGTACTAACTTATTGATGAATGACTCAACTCATTAATTCTGGCACCAGATCCTTGATAGAGCTCATTTTCATTCTTTTAAGATCCACTTTCAACAAAAGACCAAAGCTATCTTTTAAGAAGAGGAAACAGGTCATACCCCTTTGTTAACTTAATCACTTTGATGGCTTACCAGTGCACCCAAGCTAAGATCCAAGCCCATCATATAGATTTTCAGTGATACTGTGGAAGTGAACAAGAAAAACAACATTTCCACTCATGGAGATTAGATCACAGTGAATGGGTATGAAGAAAATTGACTGTAAGTAAGCAAAAGAACAAAGATAATTCCAAAAAGAAAAGTGTTATAAAATACAAAAGAAAACCAATAATATCACAATGCTGGAGTGGACTGGGGCTTATTTTTACTGGAGATAAGAAAGATCTCTTTATTTGGGTGACAGGTGAATTGTGACTTGTATAACTGATAAGAGCCAACCCATTGAAGATAGCTTGAAAGAGAAAAATCTTGTTAAATAGCTAGAACATTTCTATGTGAAATAGGAAGCCACTGAATAATTCAATTAAAATATTTTTATCAGTAGTATGGATTAAGATTGCATCAGTAGAGATGGAAAGGAATCATGATATATTCCAGAGATAGAATTGATAGGCATTGCTGATGGGTTGGCTGTGTGGAATAAAGAAAAGACTGCAGGGAGAAAAATCCTGAAGCTCTGACTTTGTAAATGAGAGAATAATAGTGCTGCATAAATAGACAAAGATGACTGGGGTGGATGGGCTGTTGGAGGTTCAAGTCAAAAGTTAGAGAGATGATGTAGATATTTAAATGTCAAGTAGGCAATTGGATATGTGTTTGAAAATAATAGATTTTAAGTCACAAGCATGAATATGACATTTCTTAATTTATGGTTCATGAGATAATGCAATGGAATACAGAGAGAGAATGACAAATAATCAGGACTGGCCTTCTAGAAACACATGACCCCCAAAGAGATCACATAAGGGAAAAGAGAAGAGTAGGCAAATAGGAAGAAGTACAGAAGACAAAGAAGGCAGACTAAAGTGAAAGAACCCAAGAATCCAAAGAAGATAGTGGTCATTAATGGCTCTCTTTAGTCCAAATATGTCTTAAAAGCTAAAAATATATGTAGTTAACCACTCAGATTTTCTACAAAGTTGACCTACATGTTCAAATTTGAACTCCTCAAAAGACCTTTCTTCTTGTTTTCTCTGTTTCGATAGATGACACACCAGTTACTGGCTCACATCTGAAACCTCCCTGTTCAGTCTTTTCTCTCTATCGGATCACTACATGTAGCTGCTCTGATTTCATAATTCTTCCTTGAGTTTTCCCCTTGCAGGTCGTCCTTGATACAGGTACTTGGTATGCTTTTCCATCACCCCTTGTAAAGTCAACTGTCTTTTCCACAAGCTCTAAGGTGGGTCTTATTGTTCTCCATAGCCTCCCTCTATTTGACCACTCCAATTCTAGGGCCAGTTAAAACTCTGAAGAGTTATGGGAATATGACTGAGGCAAATGAGAAGAAAGGAGCAGAGCCAGCCATGCCTTTATTCTCGTCAAAATGACCCAGGGTACACTGAGGAACCTTACCACTCTGCAGAAAGCAGGCCTTCCCTGGTGGCTCAGATGGTAAAGCGCCTGCCTGCAGTGCGGGAGACCGGAATTCCACCCCTGGGTTGGGAAGATCCCCTGGAGAAGGAAATGGCAACCCGCTCCAGTACTCTTGGCTGGAGAATCGCACGGACAGAGGAGCCTGGTAGGCTACAGTCCATGGAGTGACCAAGAGTCTTACATGACTGAGCAACTTCACTTTCTTTTCTTTTAGGTAGTAAAAGGCCTGCAGGGTCATGATGTTCCTCGGTCAGCACACACTGTGAGGAAGAAGACACCGAGGAATCAGAGAGATTGACTGAGAGAGAAAGAAGAAAGGGATAGATGCAAACAGCAAACCAACAGAAGAGAAAGAAGGAGGGTCTTAGAGAGATGGCATGGGTAGCTAGCTTACGCTCCTGTCATACCAAGTCTTAAACTCAGAGAACTTGTTGGGTTTATTTTCCTTGTTACTGGATGAGAATGTTCAGTGTAATTTTTGACCATCCAAACTTCACACAGATATTAAGTGTATAAGTCCAAGTCTGCTGGTGAAAGTCCTAGCTTTTAGCCACTGTATCATCCTGTCTTCCAGCCTTGCGCCTAAAGAGGAACACTTTTATGTTAGAGCTTATTTTATTCCAAAAGTCTCCTTCCTTGTTTCCCTGCTTCTAGTTAGTCTGCCTCTCTTTTATCTATCTTCTACAAGGTCTTTCTGCAATGTTGCCTTCTACATTTTCCTGGAATGTATGCCTAATTTTATCTCTCTTTTGTTCATGTTTTTCAGAGGTTTCCCATTGCATTTGAGATAAACCCAAATCCAACTATAAGTCATTTCAAGATTCTTCTTAATATGGGTCCCTTATTATGCATTATATTACATTCTGTTTGGCTCCCTTTCTAGAAAACTGGTATGGCTCTTTCAAGACTAAGCTTGACATCATTTGGTGGGCCTCTTGCTTTGCCAGAGCACTCAGCCTTCACTTCTATCATCTTACTTAGTATTCTGCACTTCAATGAATCACAAGCCTGT